AAGAAAAGGTCCAAAGGGGTAGGGGCGGCAGGAGGGGAAGGGGAGAGATCAGAGTTACAAGCTGGAATCTGGAAAGAATCCATATATAGATTGTGTTTAAAACTATAGGAAGAGATGTAGGTAGAGACTAGGCTGGAGCTCATCAGTGTCTTGGGAAGGAAGAGTCATTGCAATCAAAGGAGAGAAGGATGTGTTTCCAGAAGAAGCACATACAACTATGTACAGTACACAGTACTCGATAGTGTGATAAATGACTGTTACTGTTTTAGGTACTCATCATAACATGCTGTGTTTTTCATCTTTTAGAGCATAATCCTACTTATATAAAAGAGTTTACTGGAAATCAGTATGCTGCTATGCCAGTGGTAGCCCTATGTATCTCATGTTTAACTGTATATTTGGATAATATCAAGGGGCCATCACAGATGATTGATGTGTACCTTTTCAGTTTACACTTAAAAGTTGGCACTCTGTGTGGTACTTTGAGATACACATGAATGAAATTGCCTAATAACATATTTCTCAGTTTATATTTCCATCACATCTCACATGACTGTATTGAAATTTAAATTTTAAAAAATTTGACCTATGTGAAGTCTATTGGTTAATTAGAACTTTTTCTCCAAACCACCATTTGTCCAATATTAGTTTTGAAAATCTTTCTAAAAGAAATCACATCTTCTGATGTCTTGTTAATGGTTGAGATTTTTTTTTAATTATATGGAAAAATGTTAAAGTACTTTTCAGTTTTGCTTTGATTGAGATCTATTGTATTTGAATATTTAAAAAAATTACCGATACAACATCATCAGTTACTAGTTCCAATTATTTTTGATGCAATGGAAAATTAACATTAGAGTGTATGCAAATAGAAAGGATAAACATTGCTTTGTGAAAGTTTGTCTCAAATACTTTGTGTGTGTGTTTACGTATATGCACCCTCAAATAACAAAGCCAAATGTTTTTCTTACTGTGAGCAAAAAAACTGAGACTCATGGATGTAGAAAATTGCTAAGGCCATTGAAGCCACTTGAAATCCCATACTTCTTCTCTACCAGAGGTACTAACTTCCCAAACTCCTGTGTTTTTTTTTCACTCTTTTGCTCTTTAAATAGTTTTAAGACATAGAGTCTTAATGTATTTTTAGATTTATTTTGTGTTTTGTAAGATGGGAGCGTGTGGCAAGAAATCTTCTGTGACTTTATTCCTGGCAATATTAAGGATCATTCTTTTTTTTAAAATGCATCTACAGTTTATTCATTTTCACTGCTGTACAGCATTTTACCATATGCCTTTTGCACAATTTGTTTATCTATTTTCTGTCCATAGATATCTGAGTTGATTCTAATTTTTTAAAAATTTCTACTACTATGCACAATGCTATGAATATTCATATATATGTCTCTCATTTGCTTCATTGAGAATTTCTCTAGGGTAGTATGTCTTGCAGATGTACAGTTTTACAGGGCAATGCCAGAGTGTATCGCAGAATTAGTGTACCAATTTTTACTCTTACCTACAGATTCTGAAAATTCTCAGTTGTTCCATATCCTTGCCAAAGCTTGTAGCATTTCATTATGTTTTGTTCATTTTCCTCCACGCTTTTTTAAATGTGTTTCCTCTTTATATTTTTATTAAAGAAAATTTAATTTTAATAAAACAATGAAACATTCATTTAGCTTTCATTTGTCTTTAACATCACTTACCTGCAGCTCAGGTTTACCAGCTGGTCCCTTTCTCTTTGTTTGCAGACAGTGCGGGAAAAAAATAAGTTAAATGGACTTTACTTTCGAGATGGGAAGTGTCGAATCGACTACATTCTTGTGTACAGAAAATCCAGCCCCCAGACTGAAAAGAGAGAAGTGTTTGAAAGAAATATTAGAGCAGAAGGATTACAAATGGAGAAGGAGGTAAATAGTATGCTTGGATGAGGAAAAAAAAAAAAAATATATATATATATATATACTCATATTAAATTGATTTAAAAAGTTGGCAATTAATCATCATGTTAACAGAATATTTCATTTGGTCAGAGTTTGCCAATCTGGGGAATGTTTCAGCAATTAGACTTTCACAGCACAATCCGCCTTTGAGAGCATTTTAATGCCAGATGATTCCACGACAGTCAAAATACGGTACTCCAATTAAATGGATTATTTCCGCATGTGACTGTTGACCTCACTTGCTGGGTACATCTGCTGCTTCTCAGTGTGTGTGAATGGAGGGCTCTGCTCACACATGGCAGGGAACTTTGGAGGAAGGGCAGTCACCGCATGGAGACCATTTTTACATTTTAGGGAACATAATAAGGTTGGGCATCCTTACACACACAGGAGATTTTCTGGCTGAATTTGTCAATATCGGCTGGAACTTACAAAACGATTCCAGCTTGAAGAGACCTTCCGGTTATTTTTGTCAGATTCTGAAGCTCAAGACTCCTCTCTCCCTTCCCTGTCTTCTCTGTCGGAGGAGAAATCTCCAAGTCAGACAAGGCTTTCCTTTGTTCGGCTCCTGTTACAGTTAATGCAGCCTGCTGGTTACATCCAGACGTCGTATGTTATTGCATTTTTATTTTTGAGACAAGGTCTCACTCTGTAGTTCAAGCTGCTCTTAAGCTCACTGGATAGCCCAGGCTGGCCTTGAACGTGCAGTGATTCTCCTGCCTCAGCCTCCCTAGTGCTGGGATTTTAGGTGTGCACCACCATGCCTGGCTGAGACGTCAGACATGAGAGGCCTGTCACCCACACTGATCATGTCACTCTCGGCAGACTTCAGATAAATGGTATTTTTTCCAGCTCTGTTTAACCCTTGAACACTTGTAGTAGAGAAGCAATATTTTTCTGGAATATCTCCAACAAGAGAATTGGCAAAATGATGAGATGAGTGTGGTGTCAGGTTCCCCTTCTCAGGGAAGTGGAGACGGCTTGCTCCAAAGACAGCCTCCATGTGAGACTCCCTGTCCCCGAGCGGAAGGACACACCTTGCCGGTCCTCTTTTGTGGGCCTTGAAGCATGTTTCCCACACCAGGTACTTCTCTTTGATAAATCCCAGTTTTTAAGCTCTTACTGAGACATTTATGTATTCTCTTCTCTTAACGTTAGTAGCACACTAATATATTTATCCTTAAAAATCTTCTCTTGCCTTTTATTCTTACTTCTTAGTGGCAGAATTCTTACGTGAAGAAATGAAACATCAGAGCAGCTACATGATTGGAAAGATGAAAGTCCATTCTGACTCCTGTTCCGATTTTGATTCCCGTCAAAGTAGATAGCACTGTTCAGTGAACGAGAGATTTATGTTTTAAGCTGCCTAACTATTCTTTCCGTTCTCAGGGCTTCTTCTGCATAGGTCTTGTTGTCAATGTCACTTCACATCTTAGCGGTTAGAACTCAAAAGCCCGATACTTTTCCGAGCAGTGTCTGTTGCTTAAGAGATCACACAGCTCTTTCTGTGGCTCCTGAACCTCCCTGTAGTGTAGCCCTCAGCAGCTGGGGTCCAGCAGGTCTGGGAGGAGGTTTCTGCCAGGTGTGTGTGTGTGTGTGTGTGTGTGTGTGTGTGTGTGTGTGTGTATGGGGCTGTGATGCAGTGCGCTGTGTCTGTGTTGTGATGGGTGGACTGCTTGTGTGATTTCATTTGTATACAGGATAATCTTGTTTCTTGTACTTTAAAAAATGTTAATAGCTGAGTATTTATTTTAATGAATATTAGAAAAATAACAGTAGGGCAAAGGGCGTGGTTACCATGTTGTGAAACTTCAAAAAAATTTACCCCTCCAAATTTCTTCTTTTGGCAGCATCTTCCTCTCTGTCCTGTCCCCACAGCCCTCTGTTCAGTCCCAACTCCTAGGGCTTCCCCTTTCCCCAGCCCTGCCCTCTGCATGAGTGCATCTCACCCTTGCCCCATGACCTCCACCCACACAGATGCACAACTTGTCTCCCGTGGCCCTCCCAGCCCGGCTTTGCATCCACCAGCCTCAGCCAGCTCAGCAAGAAGAGGCCTCCGCAGGCTGCCTTGCTTAAGTGGCAGCAGGAAATGATAGATGAATCAATTTTTATCTGCCTCAAATATTAAAATAAAATGCTCCTTGATGGAACAGTAAAAAAATCTGCATTTACCTAAGTGTAGACCGCATCAGAAGCAATAAATCGAGTTCTTTATAAATGGCAGCAGCAGAGAGACAACAATTGTAATGTTAGTTGAGCTCCTAGAGTGACTTCCACCTTTTATGGGTTATAAAGAACTTACCAAGGTGAAAAGAGGGGTACAGAGAGAACTCCAGGTCTGTGTGCATCCAAAGGACTGCCTCTGATTGCTTTTTATGAATTATTAGCATCTTCTTTGTTAGCCTCTTTCGTGATGTCTAACAACTATGGAAGACGTTTTCCTGGGCCAAGGTTTATGTTTCCAAACTGATAAAGACAGGCTCTGTAGTCCCGTTCAACCTAAGAGAGTCCTTCTCTCTTTTAAGAGTGAATTTCAAAACACAGCTAAGGGAATCCTAATTCGTGATGAAGTGAGGATGCCTCACATTTAATCTTTCCTAAAATCTTTGCTCGAGGACGAGTCAGCGAGGAAGCTCTGGGTCTTTTACTACTGTGCACCTCACATTTCAGAGACAGCAGTTCACGACAGAGTTCCCAAGGGAAATATCACCAAGTCCTGGCAATGGGCTTTGGGGTATCTGTCCATTAATGCATATTTTCTGTTTCTTAAATTGTTGGTTGTGTCTATTGTTGATCCGTTAGTACCCATTTTGAAACAACTGTCACTTGTGAGAGGTTTATCTTTTCTTTTGTACTGTCTGTCAAATCATGGATGAATTTTGCATTATTTGGGGTGTATGAGTAGTGGTTGTGTTAATGGAGAACATCCCACTCCCTTTAGAATCATGTGGAACATGGGGAAAGTCTCTAATCATTACAGCATTTTAAAACAACTATAATTATATAAATCATCCCAGCTGGAGGATAGCTAATTCATTCAACAAATATTTATTGCACACCCACTCTGTGTTAGGCATTGCTTTGAGGACTAGGAACTCAGCATGAAATAGAGACAAAAATTCTTGCCTTTTTGGAACCTCAAGGACAAAATAAATAACCAGAATGTGTAAAATATCAGTTAGTGCCGTGGACAAAAAAGGAAAACAGGAAGTATGAGCGGAGCTGAGAATATTATAAAAGTTGGTGGGATGGGAGAGTTCTTCTCCAGAGAAAGAGAACAGCAAGTACAAAGGCTCTGAGGCAGGAATACACCTGCTATGTTCCTAGAATAAAGAGGAGATCAATATAATTGGAGTTACTGAGCAAGGTGGAACATGGTGAGAAATTATGTGGTATGATCAAAACTTACAGTGAATGTTTAATAAAAATAATTACAGCAAACGACATTGCCATTAATCCCCCTCAGAACACTCTCCATCACTTGGGACACACTTAACCTATCATTCTTGCCATTTTCTGAAGCACTTCTGGAAATCCTCTTTTGTGAGTGTCTATGCAATGTGATAAAAAATCCAGTGAATGCTGTTGCTGGGTGCCGTCCAATGGAATAAAAATATTATGGTGTGTTCTGATCCACCTTATTCACCAGATCTGGCACCATTCCACTGCTGGCTCTTCTGCAAAGTGAAAATGACCACAAAAGGCAGTGTTTCTAATTGACTCAGGACATCAAAGCAGTCACAACGTCGTGATTAAAAACAAGAACAAGAACTTCCAGAACTGTTTCAGAAGGGGGCAAGAGTGACGGGATGAGTGTTCCCCAAACTAGGGGGAGGATGGTGAGGGGGATTCGTGGCAATGTGTCTTTTACTCTAATAATTTAAAGATTCACTGAAGCTTTTTATTATTATCATTATATCTCGTATATCAGCAAGGCAGCGGGAGCCAGATGACACTGGACTCCAGCAGTTACTGGGGAAACAGCTTTTCTCTGAGTGACTTGTGGAGCCATTGGAAAGTTTTGAGCCGAAGTGTGAGAAGATATGGTTTTGTTGCATTAAGGCCCCTCTGGCTGCCTGATAAGATTAGGCTGTCGAGAGGGAGCAAAGGCAGAAGCAGAGACACGAGATCATCGCGAGAATACGAGAAAGAGACAAAGGAGTCTTGGCCAAGTCCACAGTAGGGAAGGTAGTGAAGAGGGTAGGACGTAGAGCTGATGAAAACTGCACAAAGACCGAATAAGCAGTGGGAGAGAGAAGGTGCAGGCTACGCGGTGTTCATCTACGCAGCTGCAAGGAATTGCCATCCATGGGGGTCTGGAAGAGAGCTGGTCTCACTGTGGAGTTGTTAAGCCTGAGCCACCCCGGGGGAGCTGTTGGGTGGAAGAGTCTGGAATTCTGGAAGAGACCTGGGCTGGAGATACTTGTTTAGGTGAGCCCTCCAAGAGAAGGACGGCTGATAGAGAACCGAAGTGCTCTGCGTCGCGGGAACACCAGCGTCACGCATGTGAAAGATAAAGAGAAGCCAGCCAAAGAGACCGAGGGGGAGCTGCCGAGAAGCTGGCCCCTGTCTATGTTCCTGACCCTATCCAGCTTATCGTTCCCGCCGATCAGAGCTGTGAGGATACCAGAAGAGGTGCTCCACAGACTCCTCCTTTCCTACACAGTTAAAAACCACAGCAACGAAGGTCTAACGTGAGTAAGTGTCAGGATACTCTGAACTACCAATTCCTGACCTCTAATACTTCCTGGTCTCCAAAGAACAATCTCTGACCTTGCTCCACTCGGATCATTTCCACTTTCTCGTATGTCACACGTGTATCTCTCCAAGGGTTTCCAGTTGGAGTGAAGAGAGGGAGAAGCCAGGGCAGTCCTGAGCACAGAGTGAAGAACGTTGATTTTCTTCTGAATCTCACAGTCCTGGAGATTCCAGAGTCTCTTTCAGGAGTTACCAGGATTGTTGCATAC